ATATATATGTATATATAATCTAGCAAATTCTAACGTTAGAATTTACTAAATTTTTAAATTTCCTTTTCCGCCCAAAAATGTGTGTCTAACAAAAGTTCATCAAAATATATTCAGAACAAAACTTTTCTGTGAGTAAACGTTCTTGTTGTTCTTCTTTTGTGTTAGATCCATAAGCAGACTTTCTTTTATTTCTCGTTTGGTGTTGTTAGATTCTATTGCAATGACTTTGTGGTTCCAATTGTTCGTGTGATTTAGATTCATACAGTGTTCAGCTATTCTTGAATAGCCACGTCCTTGTAAAGCTTTTTTATGCTCGTCCTTTCTTGTTTCTACACCTCGAGCAGTCTGACCGATGTAAACCCCATTACAATCCATACAGTCATATTGATATACAACCTTTTTCATATCTTTCTTTTCACGAAATGTTCTACTGCATAATGTTGAAATTCTAGCTCCAGCTGAGAATCCAAAAACAATTGGTTTTAACGGATGATCTAGTACTTTCTTTATCTTGTTTGCTAAGATTAATGAACATTCACCATAGTAGGGTATCGAAATAAAAAATCTTTTTAACGTTAGGATCTGGTAATTGTTTCAAATGATGTTTGTCTAGTCGCACACCTCTTATCGTCTTTTTAACTATATTCAGTGGATAACCATTGACTACAAATATACGTTGATAATATTCAAGTTGTTGTTTAAATAATTCATCAGAGGAACAAATACGTTTAGCTCTTATACATAAGCATTTGATCAGATTGATCTTATAGCTCCTAGGCTGATTGGTTGTTCATGCGAGGTAAAGACCTGTATCTGTAGGCTTACGATAAACATATGTAATTAATCCTGTATCCGTTCTTTCCACCGTCACATCTAAGAAAGGCAATTTGTTGTTATTTTGCATTTCAATCGTGAATTTTATTGCTGCTGGTTCTATTGCATTCATAAATTTAAGAAATGAATGGATATCTTTCTGAGTGCCATGCATAATCATGAAAATGTCATCCACATATCTATAGAATACATCTGGCTTTTTTCCCCTATGTGTATTAATCTTAGTTTCTAATTCGCTCATGTATAAATGTGCTAATACAGGGGCTAAAGGACTTCCCACACTGACACCATTCTGTTGGTCATAATTTATATTATTAAATTTAAAGTTTGTCTTCATTGTGCAAAATATGAATAATTCTTTTAAATTATTATCATCTAATGTTAATTCTGGATGATATTGCCTAATCTTTTCAATAGCAATTGGTATAGCTTTCTCAAGTGGGACATTGGTGAAAAGTGACGAAACATCAAGCGAACACATAAGTCCATATGAATCCTTATACTTTTTAAGTTGATTGGCCAAGTCAAATGAATCTCTTATATAAGAAGGTGCATCCTTCACTGCTGGTGATAAGAGGGTGCGGGATGGCGTGGGTGGGTGTGGGTGTGGGTGTGGGTACGGGTGGGTGTGGGTGTGGGTGTGGGTGTGGGTGGGTGGGTGTAGGTGGATGGGTGTGGGTGTGGATCTGGATGTGGATCTGGGTGTGGATATAACTTTTTCTTAACATCCACACCCACATCCACACCCACCCACCACACCCACACACCCACACCCACCCACACCCACACACCCACCCACACCCACACCCACACCCTCATTTTTTTGTCCAATTATCATCACCATCATCATTATTTGCCTAAATTTATTCATAAAAATGAAAATTATTTTCGATTAAAGAATTAATATCAACCTTTTCCATAACTTCTTGTTCAGCCTGAAAAAAGAAAGAATATAATTCGAAATAAATCAAAGAAAACTTTTGCTCATAACTTACACCTTTTTCTAATAATAATGATGTAAATTGTTTTGCAACAACATCATTTATATGTTTAAGAACACCATGAATACACACATAAGCTTGATGTGGACTCCATTTATGTTCAACAAATAAACGATCAATTTTATTAAAAACAAGAATAATACGTAGATGTTCAAGCCAAGCTTGTCGAAGAGTTGCTAAAGTCTATAGAAAATCAGTTTTATGTAACAATATATCTATATATTGAATTTAGTTTTATTTACTTGTGAACGAAGTCCTTCGACAACATCGACAAGAATTATTGCACCATCACAAAGTTGAACTACAGTAGAAACTTCCGATGAAAAATCTACATGTCCCGGAGTATCAATAAGATTGATCAAATATTTTTTATTATCTGAATAAATTAAAATTAAATATTCTTTTGTAAATTTAATAATAAATTAAACAAGCCTTTTTGATGAACAAGTGAAACAGCACTAGATTTCATTGTAATGCCTCGATTTTGTTCCGCTTCTAGACTATCCATTAAACGAAGCTATATCAAACAATAATCACAACATTAATATCTTTTTTTTGATAAGAATTTTTTTTTACTTACCTTACCAGTCAAACGTGTCGAAATAATTCCATTTGAAGCAAGTAAATCATCAGCTAATATTGTTTTACCATGACGAACATGAGCAATATACATATATTACGAATAGATTCAGTATCTTCTTGTAATTCAGAAAGAATCTCTGGTAGATAAGTTATAGTAGTTGACATTGTTGTCTGAAAGTATTTTGTGGTTTTTATTTCTCTAAAATAAAGGATCAATTATGGTCTTAAATAAATCATGATATAATAGCTATGTGTGAAGTTGTAATCAGGCAAGAATAAAAACAAATATATATATATGATTCAATTTACACTCGTTCTTCAAAATGAAAAAAAAGAAAATAACGCTGATAGAGAAAGTAAAGCAACACAAAAAATCTGTCGAAAAAAAACAGGAAAATAAGACTAATATAATAATATTGATGTTGCTTGCTTGGTTTTCTTCATTTTCGATAGCATTTTTGTAATGTATCATATCGTTTAATCTTTCGCTGTAATTGTAAAACACCATAGAATAATGCTTCTGCGCTTGGAGAACAACCAGGCACATAAATATCCATTGGTATAGTACGATCACATCCGCATATCTATTGAAGAAAAGATTTTTTAAAAAGTTTATTTATAAAGTAGATATTTGTTAATGTACTACAGCATATGAATAATGATCATAACCACCACCATTAGCACATGAACCCATCGAAATAACCCATTTAGGATGAGGCATTTGCTCGTAAAGTCGTCGAATAGCCAGAATAAAATTTCGGAATAAATTATCTGCAAAAAAAAAGAAAGAATTTTCTATTTACCTGGAGCCATTTTATTGATGAGTGTACCAGCAACAATCATTAGATCAGCTTGACGTGGATTAGCACGAAAGACAACATCGAATCGATCCATATCATATCTAAAATTCATCGAATAATAAAAAGAATAATAGATAATAGAAAATAGATAATTACCATGGAACAGCCATATGCATCATTTCGATTGCACAGCATGCAAGTCTGAATGTAAGTGGCTAGATAGAACCACATCGAATTAAATTTTGTACATCATCTAAACGAGCTAATGCGACTTCAACTTTACTATCATTATAAAATTTGCTGGGAGCAGTTTTATATGGTGATGTATTTGTTATGACATTTTGTTCTTGTTCATTTTGCATCGGTGGATTTGTCGTATGTTCAACAATTGATGATGAAGAAGTAGCAGGTGTTGTACCAACTTCTCGATTAGATATAATAGATAGAAGAGCGAGTCGAGATAAAGGTAGAGAATAACGTAAGCGTGTTATCAAAATTGGTACTTCTTCAGATGAACGACACCCCCGTCTGATTGGTTATATATATAAACAGGAAAGGAAAAAAAAGATATTGGTTAATCTGTTTTGATCAATGAACGCGATAGAAAGAGAGGTGGCGTGTATTTCTATATCGATGAGAGCGATTGAATTAATGAACTTATGTGAATCTAAACCTTGACACCAATACATCATTAAATCTAATATTTGTTGTAATGTAAACCGGCTCTGTGAAAAAAAAGTATGTTTACGTAAAGAAAGAGAAGACTTACAAGATCGACAACGCCATTTGTATTTGTCCGCTGCTGTATTACAAGTACCTAAATACCAGTTATTGCGCTTTTTTGGACATAATTCAGTTGGATATACATGTAACAAGTCAATACGTTGACATAAATTAATTGTTTTTTTAATAGTTGAAGTTAATTCATTCCATTCACGAATAGTTAAATCATCAAGAGATAGTAATGGAGAATAAGCCATTGCAAATAATGAAAGAATTACAGTGAAATGATATTAAATAGTACATACTTGATTAGACTAAACTTAACCCTATTAGTATATAATTGGATTGTCCCTTTTTTTGATAATTATTATTTCATCAATCTATTAAACAATAACGTACGCCATCTCTCTTTCTATCGTGTTCATTGATCAAAACAGATTAACCAATATCTTTTTTTTCCTTTTCTGTTTATATATATAACCAATCAGACAGGGATGTCGTTCATCTGAAGAAGTACCTCAAAATTATCCAAACAATAAATTGGAAGAAATATATGTTAAAGTTTTAGAATTTTCTATTTTCACACAACAGCCTGTCCTTTCTGATTAGTGAAACTACTTTTCAGTAGATGTCACTAATTGTTAATACAAAATTTTATTTAAATAAATTTATATTCTTCATCTGAAGATTCAAACGTGATTTTCCTATATGAATATGATTTAAATCAACGATTGAAATATACAGAATGTCCGAAAAGTTATTGACCAAAAAGAAATTTAAATATCTGCATCGTTTTTTTGACAAAATAAGCTAATATTTTTGCTGATGATAGAGGAGAATTCCAAGTTTTCAATTATGAACAAGAAGTTTAATACTATAGTTTAAAAGCATTATTACATATTTAAAAGCGAAAAGTTTACATTTTTAGTAAAGTAAACGATAGAATTTGGGTTTCTCTTATATAATTCGACCTCGTCATGTTTTTAAACTTTCTCAATTTAATAAATAATTTATTTGTAATTTATGAGTTTTTGCTAACCTATCCGACTTCTTTGACACATATCACACAACCTAGAGATAAGGATATTAGTTTTTTGGGCATAGTCTCATTTAAACCTAGGACAGTTCAACTTCAAAAGTTCAAATGGACATCTCAAGAGATCTGCGTAAATAGATTAGCTCCTATCAAAAGAACTGTTGAAACAGATTATCTGAAATTTTTAACTTGCTGTTTTAGATCTAGTAGCACTTTCGATGATATTTTCACAATTATATGTAAAAACTACCCTTTTACCATTTTGAGAACAGGGATGAAAATTGTGACGCCAAACTGTGGCTTAACCTTTGTGAATACTACTGTTCATATTTGTAAGAAATAAAATCATGTTCTAAATATGATAAGAGTCTTCTCTTCATAAAAAAAGGAGGGTTAATTTTGGTTGATGTTTACCATTTCTTCTCTTTGTTTTTGACAACAAGTAATATATCAATATAAAATCGTACGTAAAGTTCTTAGATGAATAGGATCTTTTTGTTTTTACCGAAAAAAAATGCATTTTTCAAAGTTGTACGAACACTCAAGTTAATTGAAAAAAAATCGACAGAAGATTGTTGTTATCATATTTATTTTCGTTCATTTTCGTTATGGTATGTTTTGCTTTTTTTCCCTCTTTCCCTCCTACATCGAAGATTGAACGATCACGGCAGTCGCAGGAAAAAAACATCCACTGACCGTTCAATCATATTGGTCAAATTGCTTGGTTTGAAGAGAAAAAGAAAAAAAAGAAAAATTTTTCTTCTACATTACAGACTGGATGATAGAATGTTGAATGATAGAAAGGGGTCAAACAGTGAATATTCTATAAGACAATTACAGTAAAACCTCTGTTAGTGAACACCCCTCGAAAGTGATCAACCTGTTAATCTGAACACCCTCCGGTCCCACCGAGCGATTTTTGCTGGTTTTGACCCCCTCCTTAGTGATCACCCCGCGATTCTGAATGTGAACACCTTTTTTTTAGTCCCTACCATGTAAATCATCTTCCTACAATGTGAACATCGATAAAAAACGTCATCTGTCTCTTAAGTGACACTGCATTACGATTGGTTCGCTGTATGATTTGTTAAAGAGAGCGAAGAGCAAGAAGGAGAAAATCAATTCAATAGGTGAAGAATTGAAAGTTATCCATTTTCTTTGTTCGATAATCGTTCATTGTTGAAGATGGCATCGCATCAAGAGCTTTATCTAGAAGGGAAATGAGCTTGATCAAGAAAAAGAACGTAGTGTGTCTCATCGACAGCTTAGTGAGAAAGTCCAGATCTCTGTTGGTGCAGTCTCCAATATATTGAAACGAAAATGTGAATATACGAATGATTATGAAACAAATCGAAATAAAAAGTTGAAACGAAAATAAAAAAATTATGTAAGTCAAGAAACTAATGATAATGTTTACGAATAGTTTGTTGCTCAAAGAGCTAAAAATATCTGAATCGCTAGATTTAGCTCATCGTCTTCGTCTTTTATCAACAACACAACAACCAGAATTGCATCAGTACATTATTTCAATTACAATCAAAACTGATTGATTATTTCTCGATTCCAATTTATCAAAGCAACGATCTATCTTATATTATTTCAAATTTTTACCTATTGAATCTGCTGTACATCGTAGGACATAATTTTTTTCAATATTATAAGTCATTAAAACAAACATATTTTCAATAAAGTATAATTCACTACTAGAACAGAACTAATGCATACTATAAAATTCGAAAAAACTCTATGTTTACATAAAATCCCCTCCAAAGTGATCACCCCGCTAATCTGAACGATTTTTGATAGTCCCGGTGGTGTTCACTATAGAGAGGTTTTACTCTATTTGAAAATACAAAACAAAGAAAAAAGTTTATCCATTCATTAAAATAAAACTCATTTAACAATAATGTTTATCTTCATTTTAATGTGAAATTTGTCATGAATTCACTTGAAAGTATAGTTTATTTTGTTTTCATGAGCTTAAAAGTAAATCAGTATTCAATTACAAATAGTTCAATGGTAAGTACTCTATTTCATATTCTAATATATGTCAAAAGTATTTTGTATACAAGAAATATAAATACTCATCAAATTATTAATAAATTCTATTCCTTTACCTTTTTTATTATTATTAATTCTGTAGTTTGAATTAAAACTTTGTTCTCTTTTCGTTTATTATTCTTTCTCTTCAAAGTATTTCTTAGCAGAAATATACTGACACAATCTCGAAGAGAAACATTTGTAACTGAGATTATCCTTCTTTCTTGATATGCTAGATCTGTTATTCATTCATTTTATTGACATTAGATAAAACACATTTGATGTTGTAATATCATTTTAGAAAATCTAATCACGTTACTCATTCTTAGAATCTTTTTGTAATTTTTTTAGAGTTTTCTTATAATTAAAAACGTTTCGAATGCAAGCTTTTTATTTTCGTTTTGAAAGAATAAAGATATTTGTATTGTATTTTCTAAATTAATATAATAAAAGAATAAAAATTTGAATATTTTCATCTCGAAATAATCTATATTATATATAATCTTCAGTGTCTGTCTGTGCTAGGTCAAAGGTCAACGGGGTGAGGTGGTGATTGACTTTTGACTTTTGACTTTTGACATTGGCACAGACAGACACTCACCGCGCAATAGCTCTTTGCGCAGGCAACTCGCTAGTTTTATTTATATTTCAGATAAAATGATTAGTAGATTAGAAATATTACCAAATGAAATAATTATTTCTATATTCTATTATTTGTCATGGAATGATATATTAATATCTTTTTGGTCATTAAATAGCCGATTTAATTCTCTAATCTGTTCAAATTTTTCAATAAATCAAAGTACAATTGTTATTGCTCAACCAGGTTTATCTTATCATAGACTTTCATCAACATTATTGCCATTAATTCATAATTCATCATCTCTCATTTCTTCTATTCGACGTATTCATTTGGATGGAACAAATTCAAATTCTTATGATCTCATTTATCAATGTTGTTGTTATAATAAAAATACTTTTACTTATCCTAATCTTAAATCACTTATTCTTAATCAATGTAATTTGTCCGAATCATTAATAGACAATTTATCTTTACTTATTGAATATCAATTGGATGAACTCACATTAATCGTAGATACAGATATTAATAAACTAATTCGTTATAAAGATATTTGGATAGCTGAATCTAATCAAGGTAATAATCATTTATTCTTTTAATGAATTATTTTATCAATGAAGTGAAATTGATTCATCGTTCAAAATTTCTTTTTAGAGTTCATTATTGGACATTTAATGATATTGTTTCGTTTTTTATATGACTCATTTATGTTTTCCTGATGAAACTAGTCAGAGAAAAACTAAATCGAGGCTTTTCCCAACTTTCAAAGTCTAAGATCGCTGAGTATACGACTTTATTCAGACGGATAGTACCTTGATAATAATCACTAGATTACTCAGTCTTCTAGAGTTTTTATCCTAGATTAAAATCAATTTGAATGTTATAAGATTCATTGAAATACTCCGTAACATATATTGACATATACAGTACAACTAACTAAATATACATCGAAAATAATGCACCTATCAAATCAACAAGAAGAACACGAAAAAAAAAGTAATAAAACTACTCCTCTCCCATGATAGAAGTATATTCCATATAAGAAGACCAATTTTGAAACCTTTGACGCTTGAACGTGATATAAGAGGGGATTTTTTATTATGGGAGGAGCATAGAAATAACGCGTGTATAGCGCCAGTTGAAATAAAAGATCGGGTTTCAGGAAAAAGAAAATATTAAACATTCTAGATGCACAAATATTTAAAACAAAAAGAACTTCTCTACTAACAGGTATATACCTTTGGAGAAGAACTACTTTCTTGGAGAATCACTTTATATTACACAATTTTTATTATTGAAACACGCGGAGAATAGAATAGTTTCTACTATCAATCTGATTAGAAATTTCATCGACATATTTCTTTTTTATTTTCAGTTTATGTTAAAAGCAATGTCATTGAATGTAGTGTTGATCGTTTCTGAGAACAACGATCAGTTTATTATGTTAGGAAAAATAGAAGTTAACGTTAATAAAAAAGAGTAACTTATGAGAGAGGTATGCCAACTGTTTAAGCGCTTTTAACTCCATATTTTGGCTGAAAGAAATTCTAAAAGCATTCATATCCGTGGCTTTTCTCTCCCGAGTTATGATTAAGTCTATGCCAAAATAATAGTCTTTCGATCATTTGTTTCAATATATCATTTTTATATCTTTGTAAAGACTTCCAACGTTATATAGATTTAAGAAACTTGATCAGTGGCAATAATCTATTCAAATTTGAGAACTAAACTAAACTAGATAACAAACTGTCAAAGATTGAAGCGTTAAGCATTTGCTCTCGTACACTTTTATGTATCAAAATTTAAAAAAAAAATTAAAAAGCCTTTTTTTTTGACATAGACTTGATCATATCTCGAGAGAAAAGAGCCATAGGCATGAACGCTTTTGGAATTTTATTTTGACTTCGCTGAAACTTACTTATAAGAAAAAGATGGGATCACCAGATCATTAACAGTTGAGATATCTCCCTCTTTAATTTCTACCTTATTTACACTTAGAGAGAAACTGATCATTTCCGGTTTTTATCATTTTTTTAATGAGATTAACTTGAATGTAAACCGATTGAAAGTCAGCAGTTTTCTGTTACTTATATTTTAATTGTTAAAATTACTTAAATTGTATCTCTCCTAATGTGAGTTTTAATTAATATTGAAAGGTAGAAGTTGGAAAGATAAATGAAAGTATAAGAATTAACAACTTTGTTGTTACTTTCTATAATCATAAAAAATTGGATGAAAATTTTTATTGATTTGTTTTCTTAAGGGGCCTTCCATCAGAAAATCTTATTTTTAATAAAATATCGATATTGACTATTTTGCATGGAAAGATGTCGCGAAGTGTTCTCTTTCAGAAGATCTATAGACTTTTGAAAAACAATCAAATTTTAACCGACGTATCGCAAGAAACTTCTGCCCTACTACCATCTTTTTCCAGAAATTTTTGCGGTTTTTTTTAAAACTTTAGGGTTTTCTCAAAATATGGTTTCTAATCAGGAAAATTGAAATAACTCCCTCACGGTTCGAGATATATCCAATGTTTTTTTTTGTTTTAAAGGTCTAAAGAAGCGTAAACTTTTGTCCGACCCGATCTTTTTATACTTGTTACCTTAGGTGAGAAAAGTGGAATTTACTGTCGTGGTACCACCTTTGTTATGCTGATTTTTACACCATGTCTGCTAAAAATGCTCATAAAAAATGAATGAAAGGGAATTTAAAAATTCTATTCAGACAAAAACTGTGCATAGATGTTAGCTTTAATCTGAAACAAGCTCTCTACCTCGTTCAATGACGAACTTATAAAAATTCTCCTGGAAGCCATAAATTGACCGGAAGTTTGGGTCTAGTAGTAAGTATAGGCTGAAATTTTTACTAAAAGCATTTCTCACCAGGACCACTCATCCCTGAAAATATCAGTCCAAGTGGATCATTCTAAGCTGCAGTTCCATTGTGAGGACCCCTTAAGTCACGTTAAATCAGAATATAAAACTGAGATTCTTTGAAAATGAATAAACTAATAAAGTTTTGAATGATATGATTTACTTGAATATTGAGAACAATAATATATTTGAATTGTAATATTTATATTCTAATGATATAACTTTGTTTTTTTTGTCTGACATAGTAAAAAAACTGTTATTGATGTACAATAACTTTCTTCGTCAACTTATCTCTGGTAAATGTCAATTAACTTCTCTTCGATTTAATATTCCTTATAATTATTCTTCTATTGATATTCAATGTTTATCATTATTTTCTGATTTTTGTTCTCATTCAATGTTCAATACAGCTCAATATTGTTGTATGACTCTTCGTTATTTACATATTCATCTTAATTTGACATGTTTTCTTGAACAACTTATTGAACGTGTACCCAATCTTGAACGATTGTCAGTTTATCTGCCGGTATTATGGGACAAAGATTCACCATCGGGGCCGCCCATTAAAAGATTTGTACAATCAAATGAGGCTTGGTCTAATAAAGTAAGATAACTCCATGATATTGTTGCTTTTTCATTTCATAAATTGTTTTTGGAAAATTTCTTTTTGAAAATTATGTTTTCAGAATATTTCTATTGTAGTTATTTATTATTTTTTTGATAAAAATCTCCGATTAAATTTCCTCGAGTATTATTGTAGAAGAAGTTGAGAGAGATCATTGAATATTTTCGAGCTCTCATTTTATTATACATATAATTAAATCTCTTAGTCTTGAAATTATTTTCATAAAAACGTCACTTAAGTGTTCTTTTACATCGACGTTTTGTCTTTAATGTAGAAAATCGAATATGTCAGTTTCAAGCACATATTGACTACATATTCGTCGACTTACGTTAGGAAGAAAAGGATAAGTTCATATGAACACACATAAAATAAATTTTTCATAGAAGTTAGTTTTATATTTTATAGATTTAAATGATTTGTTTTTTTGAATAGAAGTTGAAAGAAAATTCTGATCTGAATGGAAAAAACTTTTTTGATTTTGCAGAAAGGAACGATGAATTAAATATACAGAACCAAATTTTTCTATACCTTGTATCGATAAATTTTTTCGCTTGGTGAGAAAAAAAAACAAATCTCCTTACCTTTTTCATGTGTTTTTAAATGATGAACACAGATAGAGAATAATTGATTTAATGAAAATGTTAGCCAATATCTACAGGATGTCCCATAACTTTTGTCTCCCCCTTTACAACCTACAGTATCCATGATATCACAAATGTATTTTATACCAAATTAAAGCCCGTCAAAAACTAGCTTTATTGGTAGTAAACGGTAAAGGTTATAAAGACCTTTTAATATCGAATATCAAAACAACTGCTTAGAAAAGCTCAAAAACTGTTCAAAAACTTTAGCTTTTTCCTATGGAAGAAAAATACTCGATTTTTCAATAAAATTAGTCTTCGTTCATTATTTTTCCTGTCTCAGACGTTTCAAAATGTGCTCATTGGATGCACTTTTTCACATGGCACCGAATGAGTACTTTTCGAAACATCTATGAGATAG